AAAGTTTAACCACTTTCACACCACATGGCTCAGAAAAATTCTCGGCATCAAATGGCAAGATAAGATCCCAGACACAGAAGTGCTGACTACAGCTGGCCTGCCTAGCATCTACACCATCCTAATGCAGACACAGCTTCGCTGGGCAGGTCACATTGTTCGCATGCCAGACCACCGGCTGCCAAAGAAACTCTTGTTTGGCAAACTGCAGCATGGAAAGCGCTCTCAAGGAGGCCAAAAGAAGCGCTACAAGGACACCCTTAAGACTGCTCTGAAAGCTTTCAACATCAACCACACCATGTGGGAGCTGATAGCTCAGGACAGGAATGACTGGCGGGCATTTGTCCAGAAAGGGGCAACATCCTGCGAGGCAAGCAGAATCTCGCTAGCTGAGCAGCACAGGCAGGCGAGGAAGACCAGAGCCATCAGACCCCTCAATGCCGCCACCCTTCCCTGTCCACACTGCCAGAGAACGTTTCGTGCACGGATTGGCCTGACAAGTCATCTGTGTACCCACCAACTTCGACCTCAGGATGACTAGATGGTCCTCGTCGAATCGACGGACAAACAACAACAACAACAAGTAATGATCACAAAATTTTTTATTTAGGCTTAACCCTTAACCCTTTCAGAGTCCAGAGTCCAATTTTCAAAGGGTGTACCAGTGTCCAAGAATTTAAAAACAAAAAAAATTGTTATTTTTGCTATTGAAATGGTAGAAAATCTTTTTCTAAAGGTAATAAAACAAAAAGTACGAAATTTGATGGAAAATTGACAAAATTATGCTCTCGCGAATTTTAATGTGTCAGCGATATTTACAAATCAGCGATTTTGCTGACTGACTCCCATTTTAGGCCATTTACATTATTCCAGTTGACCAAATTCTTAAGCTATTTCACTAGTATTACTTCTATTCTATTGATTGAGCACAAAAAATCACCAAGTCAACTGTTTCAACTACAAAATAAAGTGATCGGAAATTGGTAATTTGGCCAATTTAACCCCTTCAGGGTCCAAGGCCAAAATCTGAAGTGATGCTCCAGTGTCCAAGAAATTTTGAAAAAAAAAAAAAAAAAAAAAAATCTTACAGAATTAAAGGGTATATTTTTGTGAAGGTAATAAGACAAAAAACAAAAATTTCTGATCAGTACTTACCGAGATACAGTGGAGGAAAGTTGACCCAAAATGACCGGGTGGCAGCAACATCACTGACTAACGCAAAATCCCATTTTTTTTGGTTTTATGTTTTTTATACTTTCTTTTCTTTTCTATTTTTTTTCTTTTTCTAATAACATTTTTGGCCTGTGAGCCCAATATAATGTATATTGTATTAGTGTACACTCATTGTATTCAACACAATAACTGCACTAATTTGTTCATCATTATATTGCTTACAAAACTTGTTTACAAGTTTATTGTAAACAAAATGATGAAAATATTAGTGCGGTTATTGTGTTGAATACAACGGTACCATATAGTACAATGGTGCCATAGGGTGCAATTGTACCATATGGTACAATGGCACCATATGATACAATGGTACCATATGGTACAATGGCACATGATACAATGGTACCATATGATACAGTGGTACCATATGGTACAATGGCACCATTTGGTACAATGGTACCATATGATACAATGGTACCATATGGTGCAATGGTACCTTATGGTACCATATGGTGTAATGGTACCATATGATGTAATGGTGCCATATGGTACATTGTACCATATGGTACAATGATACCAAATGGTTCATTGTACCATATGGTACTGTTGTATTCAACACAATAAACACACTAATATTTTCATTATTATTTTGTTTACAATAGTTGTTTACAACAAAAATATGCAAAAATGTTGTATATTAGTAATGTTCTATTATATATTTACAAGTGTACAGGAACCTGACGTGTTCCTTGAGGTAGATGACAAAACACTTTGTCTGGGAAACTGTGGAGTCAGTAGCTAGCTTGTGTCGCCCCTCAGTCTTGGCTGGTGTCTCATGCCACCAACACCTATTGACCATATGGTACACGGTATCATATGTTACAGGGTACCATATGGTACATTGTACTATATGGTATAGGGTACCATGCAGTACAGGACACCGTATGGTACAGATACAGGGATAACTACTGAAATAAGTCACCCTGACTTTTTTGGGTTATCCTAAGATTTTATACGTATGCTGCTATGTATGATAATCTACGTAATTGTATTTCTGTACACCTGAATAAACTTACTCAAGTGCATGTGACATCATAAGTAAGTTTATTTAGTTATACACAAATTAAGTTACATAGAATATCATACTTAGCAGCATATGTTTGTAGAACCTAGGATAACCCAAAAAAGTCAGACAGACTTATTTCCATTAGGGTCCCTGTACCCTGTACCATATGGTATAATGTACCATATGGTACAATGTACTATATGGTACATTGTACCATATGGTACCATTGTACCATATGATACCATTGTACCATATGATACCATTGTATGACATGGCACCATTGTACCATATGGTACCATTGTACCATATGGCACAATGGTACCATATGGTTCAAAACCATAGAATTCATCTTCAGTTCCACTTCCATCAGTCTTAGAACTGTAAGTTGTAAAGAGGAGAGTCAGAATTCGCACGGAGAGTGAGTGGGGGTGAGAGCTTCCTTGCCGCCAGGCACTATGAACAAAGCTACTTTGCCGGCGTTCCCACAATGCCATGCGTGCGTCCAGATTTTTTCTGTGGTGTGCACACTGACCACCCAGACCCATTCTCTCAGATGTAGGCCTACCAGCCTTCTTGTGCTAAATTTGGCGCCGCTAGAATTTTGGCATAGATCTACGGTTTGGACCCTGAACGTAAAGCCGTAGATCTACGGGACAGACCCTGAAAGGGTTAACACAAAGTTCAAAATATTCCAATTTCAAAATAGGGTCCAGAATAAACAATGTAGGTATTCCTGGCACTAAACTAACATTTCCTCTGTTCATTAGTTACGTTTCGAGGCTTTACAAATGAATTCCATTTTTATTTTTTATTCACATAATGAATTTTTATTCACACAAAAAAATAGAAGATTTACTGTTATGCAATATTGTAATAATTGTATAAATATCATTATCACATTTGTGAATGTATATTAGACCCACCAGCTGGCGTGTATTAGATGTGTGAGGTCGTTTGTTTACTCTTGAACATCGACAAAAATTTAACATTTCTGCTACTTTGAGCTCAGTTTCAAGCCATTTTCAGTGCTAAAACCAATCAAAATCATGTCTATTTCTGTAATTTGTCTTCCATTCTATCAAATGAGATCAAGAAATTGCAAATACAACTATAAAAAACATACGAAAAAACACTGCAAAGTCGCTTTTTTTAATCAAAAATCACGGTCTCAGTTTTTTTTTCTCTCATTATACAGTGTGCTGAAGGATTTGTTTTATGTGGTGCACACATACCACATAGATGTATTCTCTCATATCTAGGCCCAAATTTACCACTCACAGTTTTCAGAGTGAGCTGAGCTCATGGCGTAGATCTACGGTTTGGACCCTGAACGTAAAGCCGTAGATCTACGGGATGGACCCTGAAAGGGTTAAACTGTCCAAACATAGATCTATGTCTGCATGCGTAGTGCTCTGACCTTGATTTTCTCCATAAGAAACAATGCAAAAAAAAAAAGTAGATCTACGTCTGAAGCACTACGTGAGCAAACGTAGATCTACGTTTGGACAGTTTAAGGGTTAAAACACTCAGCAAAATAATCCTAACATTCTAAGAAATTTTTTTTTTCGAACATTTTTCGATACAGAATGATAGTTTCAGAAATGGGCTTGTAACAGTCAAAAGGTTAAGAGACAGCCAGGGTCAGGTCATGAAGCTGGTAGACAGTCAAGGTCAGGAGAGGTTAAGAGACAGCCAGGGTCAGGTCATGAAGCTGGTACACAGTCAAGGTCAGGAGAGGTTAAGAGACAGTCAGGGTCAGGTCATGAGGCTGGTAGACAGTCAAGGTCAGGAGAGGTTAAGAGACAGTCAGGGTCAGGTCATGAGGCTGGTACACAGTCAAGGTCAGGAGAGGTTAAGAGACAGTCAGGGTCAGGTCATGAGGCTGGTACACAGTCAAGGTCAGGAGAGGTTAAGAGACAGTCAGGGTCAGGTCATGAGGCTGGTACACAGTCAAGGGTGAGTTACTGTATATAAATGGTTTAGAAAACCAACAAGTTGATGAATGAGACACTTGTACAATACTTTATGTTGACAGTACTTGTGTCTTTTCAAGTCTTGACTTATCACCTGAAATGAAGCTAGGGATGGGACAATACCAAATATTTTTGTTGATATTGATGCCATCAAAATAAATGAACAAAAAAAAAAAAGCACACATGGAGACAGTCAACAAATTTACACTTCATCTAGAAAAGCCTTAGTACACACATATTTTATTTGGTAACAAACATTATAACTGAATATCAAAATAAATGAAAAACAAATCAAAAGAAATTATGACATTAAAATTCTAGGCTTACACCAATACAATAACCTAAAATTCAATACCAACATATTGCCACAAAAGCATCGAAACTGTAGACATACTCTCAAACATCTGTTATCATGTACCTAACTCTCCTTTGCTTACCTTATTCTACACTTATCAATCCATATCTCATATATGGTGCTTGTGGGTGGAGATCAACAATGACAAACCATCTTAAACCAATCATCATACAACAAAAGGCAGCCATCAAGGTTATATCAAATACTAGTTTTAGATGAAGATATACCACCTCTATTTAATGCTCAAAATGTACTAAACACATAAGCCATTCATGCTTTCTACTGTTCATATTAATCTTCCTGGAGCACTGCAAAAGAACTCTTGGGCATTAAACAAGAGGGAACAAGAGAGACTCAGGTTTGATCCACGGAAAGGAAGGCGAGGTACAATTCCTTGGATTAAGAACCCAACATTGGTCTCAAAGAACCTCTTACTTACTCTTCTTTTTTCTTCTTCCTCCAGGGCTAACTTCTCTCTCCACACATCAATTTTGTCTTCCTCTTCCTGTCTTGCCTTTATCTGCTCTTTCTTCTCGAGTTGTATTAACTTCTTTCTTTTCTTCACTCTCTTTCGTTTCATCCTCCGCTGATTAACCAACATTTTAACCTTGCGGACAAAGCACTCGTCTTGGAAATTTCTTATCACTTCATTTATTCTTATCTAATGGGGAAAATAATAAATGCATTATTACGATGCCATCAAGCTGAATACCTGCTTACTGTTCTGTATATTAAATCACTTTCTTATACAATATAATGGTTCAGTATAGTTTGACAGGTCACTTAGATAAGTTCTTTTTCTAGTAACATTTGTGGCCTGTGAGACCAATATAATGTATATTGTGTAAGTTTACACTCACTGTATTCAATACAGTAACTGCACTAATTTGTTTATCATTATATTGCTTACAAAACTTGTTTGCAAGTTTATTGTAAACAAAATGATGAAAATATTAGTGCGGTTATTGTGTTGAATACAACGGTACCATATGGTACAATGGTGCCATAGGGTGCAATGGTACCATATGGTACAGTGGTACCATATGGTACAGTGGTACCATATCATACAATGACACCATATGATACAATGCTACCATATGGTAGAATATGGTACAATGGCACCATTTGGTACAATGGTACCATATGATACAATGGTACCATATGGAGCAATGGCACCTTATGGTACCATATGGTGCAATGGTACCATATGGTACATTGTACCATATGGTACAATGATACCAAATGGTTCATTGTACTATATGGTACTGTTGTATTCAACACAATAAACACACTAATAATTTTCATCATTATTTTGTTTACAATAATTGTTTACAACAAAAATATGCAAAAATGTTGTATATTAGTAATGTTCTATTATATATTTACAAATGTACAGGAACTCGACATGTTCCTTGAGGTGGATGACAAAGCGCTTTGTCTTGGAAACTGCCGAGTCACTAGCCAGCTTGCGTCGACACTCGCTCAATCCTGGCTGGTGCCTTGTGGCATCAACATCTCCAACTGACCATACGGTACATGGTATCATATGTTACAGGGTACCATATGGTACAGGATACCATATGGTGCAGGGTACCATATGGTGCAGGGTACCATATGGTGCAGGGATACGTTCACTCGCGCAGCGCGCCGAATATATTGAAAAATATTTTTTTTTTTTATTGAAAAAAAAGCACATTTTTCTAAGTGTTATAGGATAAAAAAATTTTTTAGGGTCTGTATTTACCGAGATATGAGGCCCAGAAGTTGGCACTGGATGTTCACTTGACAGCAACAGCAAGTCCTGCGCTTACAGAAGTGTTGCCGATATACCTTTTCTATTTTTCATATTATTTTATATAATTTTTATGTTCTGATAATTACAATTTGTAGTAGTTCTTGTCATTTTATAACCAATCTTTGTTCTGCCACTAGTATTAGGTACTGAAATTGTGAAATTGTACTCAAATTGTCACAAACACACTGACAGGTGGACATTTACACCTGCCTTAGCCATTTACTATTGTCTTGGAATATATAAGAACATAAGAAAGAAGGAACACTGCAACAGGCCTACTGACCCATGCGGAGCAGGTCCATGTCCCCCCCCCCCTCTGTGAGCTTTGTGATAGGTGATCCATGTTAAGAGAGACATCTGTAGCTCTGTTACCAAACTGAATGAAGTAGGTTTTGTCAATGTTGAGAGTAAGTTTGTTAATCATCATCCAGGTAGATATTTTCTGTAATTCGGTATTTACAGTATTGGCTAGCATGATTGGGCTCGGGTGAGAGAAGACGTATGTAGTATCATCTGCAAATAGTGTGGGTTTGAGTAGTTGTGATGCATTTGGTAGGTCATTTATGTAAATGAGAAAGAGAAGAGGGCCAAGGACACTTCCCTGTGGGACACCAACTGTAATTAGCTGTGCAGAAGAGTTCGCTCTATTTGTATACACATACACCTACCATCAGACTTACCACCAAGCTTGGTTCCGACCAACCGATCGTAAGTCAAAATTAACGTAAGTTGAACCTTTGAAAAATGCCGACATACTGGGTAGGGCATAATGTCAAACCTTTCCTATATAAACTACCTACATAGTACTGTAATGTAATGTACAACCATTGTTTCATCCTTTTTACCATAATTTACTTCGAGTGTTATATTTTAATTATTGACGTACTGTATATAATGTATACATGGTAGTGAACTGTATTGTAAATTTTACATCGCATACAGTATCATATGTTACTGTTATCTTTATGTACGGTCAACACAGTGGAATGGGAGAATGCCACTGGTAGTGTCATCCTGCCAGAATGCAGTATAAACTATACCCCAAGTAAAGAGAAACAACTCTGGAACATGTGTAATACGTATCCGGCTGGCCGGGTGGGTGGCTGGAGAGGTGGGTGGGTGGGTGGCTGACTAGCTGATGGAATGTGGCTGTCTCTCTCTCTGTATCTCTCTCTCTCTCTCACAGGTACATGTAAGTTATCATACATAATATAAATTACCTAGGATAACCCCAAAAAATCCAGACAAAGTGCTATACAGTGGCTCTGTGCTCCAGTGCCCTAAATTAATAATACAGTGGACCCCCGCATACCGCACGTATCGCATACCGTACAATCCGCATACCGCTCGCTTTTTTCGCAAAAATTTTGCCTCGCATACCGCCCAAAAACCCGCTCACCGCTCTTCGTCCGAGACACGTCCAATGTGCGGCCTGAGCCACGCTCACATGTTCCGCCGGTGGCATTGTTTACCAGCCAGCCTCCGCGGTAACATCCAAGCATACAATCGGAACATTTCGTATTATTACAGTGTTTTTGGTGATTTTTTTCTGGAAAATAAGTGACCATGGGCCCCAAGAAAGCTTCTAGTGCCAACCCTACAGCAATAAGGGTGAGAATTACTATAGAGATGAAGAAAAAGATCATTGATAAGTATGAAAGTGGAGTGCGTGTCTCCGAGCTGGCCAGGTTGTATAATAAACCCCAATCAACCATCGCTACTATTGGTGGTACAGCTGCTGCTGCTGCTGTACCACCGTCAGCTGCTGCTGCTGCACTGTCAGCTGCTGCTGCTGTTGTACCACCGTCAGCTGCTGCTGCTGCTGTAGTACCGTCTGCTGCTGCTGTAGCATCGTCTGCTGCTGCTGTAGCATCGTCTGCTGCTGCTGTAGCATCGTCTGTTGCTGCTGTAGCATCGTCTGCTGCTGCTGTAGCATCGTCTGTTGCTGCTGTAGCATCGTCTGCTGCTGTTGTACCACCGTCAGCTGCTGCTGCTGCTGTAGCACCGTTGTTGGTGTGGCTTATTGAGAATACCAAGAAACAATTAACCTCAGAGGATTTGCCACCCAGGATAACCCAAAAAAGTCAATGTCATCGAAGACTAACTTATTTCCATTGGGGTTCTTAATCTTGTCTCCCAGGATGCAACCCACACCAGTCGACTAACACCCAGGTGAACAGGGAAAAATGCCTGGAGCTAGTGCTCATATTGGTGAATTTAAAGCCAGCAAAGGTTGGTTTGAGAGATTTAAGAATCGTAGTGGCATACACAGTGTGATAAGGCCTGTTCTGGAAGAAAATGCCAAACAGGACCTACAGTACTCAGGAGGAAAAGGCACTCCCAGGACACAGTGTCTCATCAGTCATTGCTGCATCTTCAATAAAGGTAAGTGTCATTTATTCTTCATGTAGTAGACTAGTACATGCACAATATATACTGTGCATGTACTACTCTACTATTGTGCATGTATCCTTCTCTTTGTGTGTAGGAAAATGTATATTTCATGTGGTAAAATTTTTTTTTTCATACTTTTGGGTGTCTTGCACGGATTAATTTGATTTCCATTATTTCTTATGGGGAAAATTCATTCGCATACCGAACATTTCGCAAAACAATCAGCCCTCTTGCACGGATTAAAGTTGCTATGCGGGGGTCCACTGTAATAATAATAATTATTACAATAATACATATGTACTACTACTATTATTATTATTAAACTATAATATAACAATCGTGTCCACTCATTACTTACCTTAAAATATCTGTAGTCTTAATGTAGAGTGAGAGGTGAGTAAAGAAGATTAAATGAGAGAGAATGAGAGTAGAAGGTTGGCGAGTTATGTAAACAAACGTTGTTGTTGTTACCAGCCCGGACACGAATGGTTTCTGTTCACTCTGTCAAGCTGACCAGAAAAAGATCTCATATTTGTTAATTTATATGTTTATGTTATGTAGCATGTTTATTATATAATTTTGAAATGTCTATATTAACGTTTTATACACATTTAATGTGCCTCAGTGATTATTATTGTGTTATTATCATTATTAACCCTTTCAGGGTCGCCAGGCCCTCTACGAGACTTGTTCTCAGGGTCGCCCAAATTTCAAAAAAAAAAAAAAAAATCATATGAAAAGATAGAGAATCTTTTCCCAATCATAATGACACCAAAAGTATGAAATTTGATGGAAAACTTACAGAATTATGCTCTTGCGAAATTAGCGGTCACGACGATGTGTACGCATTGGCGATTTTGCCCACTTTGAGCCCTATTTTCGGCCAATTCCAAAGTACTAGTTGACAAAAATAATAACTTACATTAGAACTCCATTTTTTCTATCGAATGAGCACAAGAAACCACCCATTTACCGATTTCAACTATCCAATAAAGTGGTCAGAATTTAGCAATTTTGCCAATTTCACAAAAACTTCAAAAGTTGCCAATTTCCGAATAGGGTCCAGAATAAACAAGAAAGACATTCCTGGCACTAAAATAAAAAGTTCTCTGTTCGTTAGTCACATCCCCACGCCCCTCTTATATTTCTTTGGCTTTCCACTTTGAATTTTTATTCTTACAAAAAATAGAAGATTTACTGTTATGCAGACTACTGCATTAGTGTAGAAATGGTATAAATAATATCAGCGCACTTGCGAAAGAATATTAGACTCACCAGTTGACGTGTATTGGACGTTTGGCGTGATTTGTTTACTTCTGAACTTTGGTAAAAATCGAACATTTCTTCTACTTAGAGCTCAATTTCGATGTACTTTTCTTTGTAAAACCAGTCAAAATCATCTCAATTTCTGTAATATGTCTTCCATTCTATAAAATGAGACCAGGAAAACTAGAATACAACCATAAATACCA